AACTAGCTACCATGACTCGTTGGATTGAATGGAGTCGTGTGGCATAGGTGGTTGTGAACCGCGGGGGTAAGCAACTAGTGATCAATCTTTCACGGCATCAATTCACTAGCGATCGATTTGTCACGAAATCGATCCACTCACCAAGTCTAGGGGAACCGCTAGGAGGAGCAACTAGCGATCAATTTGTCACCGGATGGATTCGCTAGAGATCGATTTGTCACGGGATTGATCCTCTCACACAGGCTCTAGTGGTTGCCTAGATCAATCACAACAACCTAGATGCAAACTGGTAACCGCGTACCGCAGAGGGATGCATATGTGGTCGGAGACCATAATCTCAATTGCTAAACCGAGGTAAGCATGAAAGGTTGTGTCACTCGACCCTCTCGGTTTAGACAATTGGTAGTTGACTTACTCCCTCACTCAACCCAAGGTTGGACGGCTTAATCACGCTTAACCAATTTGCTTAATTCAACAATGAGGTTTGCCCTAAATTAACCTAGGTTAAAGTGGCTAATTAGATTGCTAGCACCAACATGCACAAACCTAAGGATGCTAAGCACAAAACATGCACAAACCTTAGATTGCTAAGCACGAGCATGCACAATCAACATGAATAATACCTCAATCCTTGAATTAAACACTACCCAATGACAATCATTCAATCTAAACAAGTAATTACAAAGTATTATTAGGGATCTACAAAACCCAAGAGAAAAGAGTGAGTTTCTAGAGAGAGAGAGAGAGAGAGAGAGAGAGAGAGAGGGATTACAAATTTGAGCTCAAGATCTTCTTCTTCTACTAGGCTTGAATCTTCCACCCAAGCCTCCAATGATGCTCCAAGATCACTCTAGAACTCTCTCTCTCTCCCTCACTAGAACTACCCTTTGGTGTTTAGGTTGAAACCCTAGAGAAAGAAAGTGTTTCTTCTCCCAAGTGAAAGAAGGGACTTGACGCGCACGAAACTACACTGCGAATTAATCCCGACTAGAGCCCAAGTTTTTAAACTCTAGTCTGGTGCATTATAGGGAAAGTATTTAAATTGTCGACCCGGGCCGGTCCATGTACCCCTACTTCAATCGCTCAAGTTGTTATCTAGCAAAGAGATTTTGGGTTTAAAACTAAGGAAACTACAAAGTGAACGAACAAGGAAAGTAAATCGAGGAGAATTCTACTTGAGGGGACTTCACCTCTGTATTGCTCCCCCTAGTCTTGTGCTAAGAAGCGACAAACATAGTTCTAGTGAGAAGGACATGTTCATACACTGCTAGGTGGCGCAACTAGCTAGGGACAAACTCCCTTAGTCGATTAATGAAGGAAAATCAACAAATATAAGCTAGGGGAACTAGCTCTCTTAACCGTTAGGTCAAGAATTGTGATTCGTAGCTAGAGAGTCTAGCCCTCTTTATCGATCAACCAAGGTGATCCCTAACTTTCTCTTAGTTAGCTAATTAAGATTCATTGGAACAAGTTAGGAAGCTAACTCCATTAACCTTTCGGCTAAGGATGACAATGATAGGCTAGGGAACCTAGCCCTCTCAACTAGCTGGCTAAGGATTGCAAACCAAACCCTCAGAACTTAATCTGGTCGGCGGAGAGACCTATCCCGGTGGAATCACGGCCCTACTATGATATTTGAGATTTTGGTCTTAAATTGACCTAGAGGAGGTTACCCAAGTGGCTAAGGAGTCTAGCTCCTAATTGGACCAAGAGGGGATTTCCACCCTCTAGGTTAATTTCACCCAATATTGAGTTAAAGCTAGCACACTCAATCATTCATGAATAATACCTCAAATAACATATAAAACACTCAATCAACACAATAGGTTCATGTTCTTGCAACCTAACACATAGAGAGACTAGGGTTCACAATACCCAAGTGAGTAGGTAGGCTATTCCATAGTTAAACCAGGAAAAACAACAAAAAAGGAAGAAATAACCATGAAGTGATGTCAATCTTTCGTCCTTGTTGCTTGAGATACACTTGAGATGAAGAAATCTTCAATCCTCTAGCTAGGAACAGGCCCAAAGCTCTTTTTTCCAGCTTTGATTTGCACTTTCTCCCTCTAGAAGAAACCCTAACCTCTCACTAGAATCTTCTTTATTCTGAAAATGAAAACCTAACCTAAAAATGAAGCTCTCTTCTTCTTCCTTCGGCTCCTCATTTAAACCCCGATCGCTCCCAGTTCACGGCCGTGAACTCCTCGTGTGCGACCGTGAACTCGGAGTGTCGTGTTGACACGCACCGCTTCACTCACTTGAGTTCACTGTCTTGGTGACGTGAACTCACCCGCGTTAGTAACCTCTGAATTCTCCAGGGACGCCTTGCGGTTCATGGTTTATGGCTCCAGTTCATGGCTATAGAGATCGCAAACTATAAGTTTTGACCGTGAATTGCGGCTGCTTCTTGGACGCCTGCGCTTCACTGTTACGGGGCAACTTCGGACTTCTCTTCAGTTTTTGCTCTTTTTGACCTCCAATTATCCCAAAATTCTACATCGAGCCTTCCACGCGTGCTAGGACCTGAAAGTATCAAAACAAGCACAACCTAGTGCGAAATAGGTCGAGGAATGATGAAATGCAAAGTCAAACTATCAAGAAATTAGGGGTAAAATGTGTACAATAGAACCCGAATCAGGACTACTCCATGCTAGGAGAAGGGAAAACACAAGAGAGAAGAAGGAAAACCATCAAAGAGATGCTAGCCTTGCTCCTTGTGTTGAAGAGATCCTCCTTTGGGGAGGAATTCCCAAATCCTTGCTTGAAGATGAAACCCTAGCTTCTCCTCTTCTTTGGTTCGTCACTTTCTCACTCTAGAAATCTGAAGAAGAAGAAGAAGAATTTTCTCACAGTAGGTCTCTCTCTTTTCTCCTTTGGCTCAACCTCCTTTAATACCTAGATCGGGCTCAATTCACGGTCTTAGTTCACGGTCGTGAACTGAAAGCCCAGACCGCGAACCAAAGTTGAAATCGTTGCATCACTAATTCCAGTTCACGGACAATGGTCTGATTTCACGATCATACGACTGTGAATTGACTCGTGTCTAGTGAAAAACATTTGTTCTCTGGATGCCTAGCAGTTCGCGGGAATCGCCTCCAGTTCACGGTCTTAGTGATCGTGAACTCACAGCCCAAACTATGTTCTGATGTTGTTTTCACCATTTGACTTGATTTTTCGCCCTTTCGTCCAACCTTCAACTCCGGGGTTGGTTCCACCTGCCAAAGTCTGAAAAACACCAGAACAAGGCACAACCCAGCGTAAAACCAAATTTCTGGAAGTAGAAATGCTTCAAACGACTAAACAAACTGGGGGTAAGAAGTGTACAAATTAGCCTGAATCAGGGTTGTGGCAGTCCATTGGCGGATCTGGTGGTCACGTAACTGGGTAGTCTTTGAGGGCAAGCAGTTTGAGATCCCTGCCCTAATGCGACAATTTAACCAGCAATACCAGGAATGGATTAGTTTGCCAGTAGACTATGGTCTTTCAATGTCCATCCCGCACCCACAGTCGTTGGGTATGGTGCATCCGAATTCGGTGGACTATATGTGGGATGGGACAACTAAGTCTGGATCCCATTCGGTAGGTGGGATGATTATGTTGAGTCAAGTTGGGGAAATCCTCTTGGCCAAAGGAGTGCAATTTCATGTGATTGATGATCCTATGGTTGTTGAGCTGCTTACTCTTCGGGAGGCTATTCTTTGGTGTCTATGCCATGGATTCACAGAGATAAGGTTTCAAGGTGATGCCAAAGTGGTCATTGAGAAGATCCGTCGAGATCATACCAACAATCATTGGTTGGGGGCTGTTCTTGAAGAGGTTGAGCATCTTTTTGCTAATCATAGTGGGCTTAGTGTGCGACTTGTAGGTCGTCGTAGCAATATGGTAGCCCATTTGGTAGTTAGGAAGACCTTTTCTTTGTAGCCGACTATGAGTCGCTCTTTTAATTTTTTGGCCTGACTGAATTCCAGGATGTAATTGCCTATTTTTCCGATCAATATATTTGATTATCTTTTGTAAAAAAAAGAGCACTGGGTATAGCCAATGTCGATGAAAGATTGGATGAGACCCAGCATAATAATTTTTATAGCTCCCATACCAGTGAAAAATCTCGGTAGATTCCAAGATTGAATGTTTGAACTACAATTTTTCAGAATTGATTTCGTATTAATTTTTTTAACTCGCCCTATTTCTTGATTGTCCTTGCTTTTAGGTTGTTTTGTCGAACTTTTGTTCCGGTTGTATTTAGCAACTACTATAACTAGGTAGATAGAACTTTTATTTCGTTGAACTTCTAGACATAGTAATTGACAATTAGCGATATTATTAATTAGTAAGGACAATTAATAGTACTTAAAGTAGCAGCAATTAGTAGATAGTAGAACATAACAACAACCTTTAGGAGGAGTATGCATATAAACTATAAAGGGCATTTTTATATTTTCACCAAATTTCACACCTTCAATTTCCTAAAAATAAACCCTATCCAAAGGTGAAATTTTGGTTCAGTTTTCACATGTCAATCATTGGTTTTGTAAAACATGAAAATTCAAGCAAATTTTCCATATCAAAACAACCCGTTAGTTATTTGGATTAGTGAAGTAAAAAAAACAAAGAAGTTAAGTTAAGGGCCAAAAGTTTATGCATTTCAAACGCATCAAAACTATGATAGAAAAGCCAGGCCGTCAACGCCAATAAGAAGAAGCGCATCCAACGGTGGATATCAGTGGTTGGAGCAAAAATATATAGGCAATTTTAAAAACCTATCACAATCTTTAAGTCCTTAACTCTCAAGGTTGTTCAACCCCTATCGGACCCCCCAATTGGAACCGGTCCGACCAAAATTGAGCTTCAAAACGGTCTGCAAAAAGCCTTCATGTCTGACCTCTAAAGATGGAGAAGAAGAGAGAGAAAAGATAGGAGGGAGAGAGAAGGAAGATAGTAGATGAATCTTGGAGGTTAGATAGGTTTTATTTTTTTGTGAATTAAATTTTTAATAGACAAATGTAAAATAAATTTTATTTTAGTCGTTATTTTTTAATTACTATCTTATTTATATATATATTTAGAAAATGTATAAATGACTCAAATCGGTTGGACCTCAATCTGACCAATAAACCTCAAACACTTGCTTGACCGGTTTGATGACTTTACCCAGCCTCCGTATGTTGCATTGTTGCATATCTATCCGTCTCGCCCATCTCCTCCGTTCTCCTCTTCTCTTCCTTTCTCCTAGTTGTTTCGAAGAAAGAAGAATCTCCACCGGTTCCTCTCCCTCCGCCGGTTAAGAGAGCCTCTTTCTGCTTCCTTCGGTTAGATCGCACGGTGCAGACCCTCAATCCTTTACTTTTCATAGAAAAGATCCCAACTTATTTTTATCTCCTATGTCGAAATCTGCTTGCTTTGCAGTATTGTACTAAAATATCTCCATCTGGTTGTGTTGCACTTAACAAGTACAGCAATTTTATGATTTCTAAAGGTCCGACGTTGTCTCTCTTAACCGGTGCTTTGGCTCTGTATCTCCGTGGTATGGTTTCGTCTGACTAATAGCTGGATCCGGCGCAAACCAAGGTATAACCCTCGTTTTGTCTGTGGAAAATAGATCTACAATTCTGGTTTAGATCAAGTTATCTACTCAATCTTCGTTTTTTATTGAAAAGATATGAACTTTGTATTTGCTCTTTGTTAGATTTATCGTATAGACAGATTTACAAGCCAAATTTATGTAGCAAGTACCTCCAGGGGCGAAGCTTTGAAGCCTAATTTTTGAGTCGCTATTATATGATTGTATATTGCTAACATATAGTTGAAGTTCAATGCACAAGTTGCTATATAGCTCTCAGTGAGAGCTGCTCTGTCCTCGATTCAATACCCATTTTCTTTCATTAATTGGTTCTATCTCTCCTTATCTTTCATTGATTCTGCTGCTGCATGTGTATCTGACGTCTTCTTCTTTCCAGAACCCGATTCTGGTGGTTTGGTGGAGGAACCCGTACCTTTCTCAGATCTGTTAAAGAACAAGTGGGTCTCTAAGGCAAACAAAGCAAATCTCAGCGCAGAGAGGGCTGTCTTGTTTGATCGAGATCTGATTTTGGGCAAATGAAAGAAGACTACGAGGTAACCAATCCTTTACTCTCTCTAGCTTCATTTCTTTTGTTTAATATTTCTCCTTCCAGGTTCCTTCTCTGGTATCGACTTTCTACCGGTCCTTGTTGTCGTCAAATGAAACCAGTGGCGGCTAATTCTTTTGCAACTTAATTAGAGGTTTCTCGATGTTAATTGATCGAGAATTAGATGAACCTTTGGCCTGGAACCCTAGAAATTCTGAGTTATGGTATCTAAATCTTAGGAAATTTTGGAGTATAATGACCAAATTGGCAGATTTTCTTCCTTGTGGATTGAATCTCTCTCAGCTGGGTGTTCTTGGTTGATTGTGCAAAATAGTCTCTACTTTGTGATTGGTTTACTGTTAGATAGGAGAAAAGTATGATGATGGTTTATGTATAATGACTAAATTGGCAGATTGAAGAGAAAAAGGAAGCTGCTGCTGATTTATTGTTCAACTATTCCAAGTTTGTGATGGCATGTATCGGGAACCAAGTTCGCCCTTGCGACATGAGATTGCATCTCATGAAGGTAGTGATCTACCACACTCCCCTTTGCAAACTTCCTGTTTCCAAACATCTGTTGCTTAAATGGCTGTAATAGAATACAAGAGTGTCTTAGCTTCCGGATGAGTTGCAGACTAGGATTCTGAATATGTTTTCACAGTCCTATAATCATCGACTACATCTGTCTTTTTGCTTTTGTATTCAAATTGTAGTAAATGACTTGTGGTAGCATTGCTTGTGGCCTGCCGTTAATGGAGCTTTCCATTTGCTATGCGGGTTGTGTATGTTTGTCAGGAGATATCAGGGATGCCAACTTCTCTGAAGAAAGAGCCTTCTCAGATGGCAAACTCACCTGATGCGATGGGTGAATCCTCCAGCTCCGGTACTGCGAGGCTTGATAAAGTCGACAGCTTTCATGCACATTAGCTTCAGAGCATATTGTAAATACATTGTTCAGTTTCCTCACTCCCTTCATAATTTCTCCTCTTTGTTATGTATGTGATTCGGTGTAACTAGGTAGATTAGCCAAACCATTTGCCTAATAGCACATCGCGACTTCCTTTACATGTGTTCATCTCTATTAATCTCGGATATCTCTCTGCGCTGAGAAAGAGACCCACTTGTTTGCCTTAGAGACCCTCTCTGCGTTGAGATTCTGACACTCAATAGGAGAAGAAAAAGCAGCAGCAGGAGCAGCCAACTGACATGGAGGAAGGTGAGGAGCAGGGTGATGCAGTAGAGGGAGAGCCCGTCGATTGCTATTGTATGCAAATATGTATGAGAGGGCTGATGGAAGTTGGGTCTCCAAGGAGCCTATGAAAAATTATGTGAGCTATTGTTATTCTTTTCATTGTTCGTTTAGATAGAACAATTTTCACAATCACAACTTTAATGTTTGCGACAAATATAACCACAATTTTTATGATTGTATGACAAACCTAGTAATTTTCATTACAAACTTTAATTGTGTTCGAGACTCCGAGACTCTGTCAGTTATGCTAACGTTATGGGAAAAACTAAAATGACAAAAGTGACATGAAAAATTGTGGAGCTTATTGAATCCTACGTTATGTGTCTCTTACAAGTCATTTGTCTCTTACAAGTCAGTATCATGTTGCCAAGCCAAGTCAATACTAGGGACTCGATCCCATCAATTTTTTTTTTATTTAAACTAAATGCGGAAGGGCAGTAAGATAAAATTGCACACACCCCTATTTATTGATGACGCTGACGCTGAATTTTGACCGGATGCGGACCTCACTCCCCCACACGCATTCCCCTCTCTCTCACTCTTTCTTTTATTATTAAAAGAAAATTTATATTATTTTATCTCTCTCCCATCTACAACAAAAATGAATCTAATCCCAACTATTTCCAACTCAAATTGAATGATGATTTTTTCATTCAATAAATAAGTGCTAAAGACGGTAATTACAAATATGAATATGATTACATGGTAAAACCTCATAAAATCTGTTGAAGAAAATTACAAATTTAACTACCATATACTACCACATGGTATAATGTAGTAAAACATGCTACAAAAATTTACAAAACCATATGGTGGTATAACATGCTAAAAAAGTTACAAATCTAACTAACATACAATACCACATGGTATAACGTGGTAAAACATGCTAAGAAAATTTACAAATCTAGTTATCATACCATACCATATGGTATAACATGCTAAAATTAGGGATGACAAAAATATCTGTAACCGTGGATATCCACCTGAATCCGACCTTGTCAGGTAGGATAAACCCCGAACCCGAAGGATTTTTAGCAGGTACGGATATAACCCAAACCCGAATATTGCGGATAATGGATGATCATGGTTTTCTCACTATCCAACCCGAACCCGCCCGATATACACATGCATATGTATTTTGTCTAGAAATAATCATTATTTTTCTCTAACATATTTTATATTTAGCATATAAATATAATATTTTAATGAAATTGTGTTGTTTTAATGATATTTTTTCCTTCTAGTGAATTATTGTCATACTTTTCGTCTTACGTAATATGAGAATACACGTGAATATTGACATATTGGTTGGAGTTATAAAGAGAAGTGGATAACCAAAATCCGAACGGGTATGAGCATGATTTTGATTTTCTATCCGTTTCTTATATGGGTATGTGTATGTGTATGGGTAAAACTCGAACTACTTTGGGTAGGGTATCGGTATGGATATTGGTAAAACCCGAACTACTTTGGGTAGGGTAACAAATATGCACTATCCGTCTCCGACCCGACCTAGTGCCATCCCTAGCTAAAATAAAATTACAAATCCAACTATCACCACATGGTATAACTTGGTAAAACAAGCTACAAAAATTATAAATCTAACCACAATAGAATACCACCATAGTAGAACATTGTAAATTGAATGATCACAAATTAATTATAATTATCATGCAATATCACATGTAGGAGAAGGTAAAAACCATATAAAAAAAATAAATCTAATTACAACCCTCTACGATCCAATATATATAATTTCACGAAATTGGTGTCGATTACCATCAAATATCATATGGTATAGTGTGGTAATATCAATATATATTTCGTTACCACCCAATACCATATGATATAGTGTGGTAATATCAATTTATATTTCGCTATCACCCAATATCATATGGTATAGTGTGGTAATATCAATATATATTACCTAAAAGAAAAAAAAAAGGAGGGACAGAAAAAAAATTTGTCTTTTATCTCATCTCATTTCCTTCTCAAACAAGAACACCAAACGCCAAAAAAAAGGAGAAAGATCGGAAAAAATGAATAAAAAAATGAGTTGATGAAGAGAAGAAACGCAATGAAAGGGTGACTGCAATTTCTATTCGTCAATTGCTGGAGAAAAAAAATGAATTAAAAAAGAGAGCAGATCTAGATCTGGAAAGGAGATTGGGAGAGAAAAGGGAAGAGAGGAAAAAAAGGATCTGGAAAGGTGATTGAGAGAGAAAAAGGAAGAGAGAAATGAGAGTTGCATAGAAATGATTATTTCTCTCTCCTCCTTTGAAAAAATAGCTAATAAATACGGGATAAAATAATAAAATTTAATGTAAAAACGAACAAAAATACCCTTCTTCACCCCTGCGTTCAGCCCAACTGCACGATTGTCCCGCCCATAGATCTACGGTCCCTATTTATTACTGGCAGATCAGTAACCAAGTGGTTACTTACCGTATCCCAAGTCGTCAATACTACTAACAAAATTGCTAACGGAAAGTTAACATTTGACAAATTCTTAATATTTCAATAAATTTGACTAATAAAAAAAGGGTTTATGCCACATTTGGTCACTAAGATTACTACATCGAGTCATGTTTTAGTCACTAGAAAAATTTAATATCAATTTTGTGTGACTAATGGGAGAGTGACTAAATGTGACATGTTTCAGTAATTCGTGTGACTAAATGTGACATGTTTCAGTAATTTGTGCCAATAATAGCCAAATTTGGAGAAATACCACTTATAGCCAGCTTTTAAAGTTGTTGTAGGACAAATATAGCCATTTCTGTTAGATATTTTAACGGTGTTAGTAACACCGTTAACTTTTTTGTTCGCTGATTAGGCGTCCACTCAGCATACACGTCAGCTCATAAATCAGCCAAATTTGACACGTAAGTGCCACGCCATATGTTACTTTATAAATAAATAAATAAAATTAATACATTAATTTATTCTTCCCCTCCCACCACCTGTCATCTGCTCTGCTACAACACGTTTTGGACCGTCATCGCCTGGAAAATCAAATTAGCCCCCGTCCCGACGAGTGTGACGACGTGCACTGTTACGAGGACTTTGGAACAGCAACAAAGTGTTCTTCATGGTCGTTCTGAGCAGAGTGGCCAATCCCGTTCAAGTGAACGCCACAACGATCCAAGCTTCGTTCAATTCACTCTACCTCGGAGGGATAGAAAGTTTGATGCCAATGATGGATGCGAATTCCCAGATCTGGGTTTGAAAAGGGAGAACTGTGAGGAGATGAGCTGGGCAAAACCGATTCTCTACTTCGGCCGGTTCCCACTCACGCCCCGCTGGAGAGCTTGCTGGGCAGGCTGATTTTCGCAACTGGGTCGATGAAATTCAAATGGAAATTCAAAGCCTCTCGTTCTGAGACTTCATCTTCTCCAAGAGGAGATTGCTTCAGTGGATGGCGATGGTTGCTTGGAAGACGAAGCGGTCGATTGGGATATGGAGACTTCTCCAAACCTAGAATCTCCATCGATTGAATCAGACCTGGCACTCTACACTCGCAGCCATTATTGCTTCTCTCTTCCCTCTCCCTAATTCTTTTCTTCCCATTTTGTTTCCTTGCTCTCCAAATCAGCACTCCTCTCCGTTGAAGCAGCCATTATTTCTCAACTGGGGAAGAAGGAGATCGGGAATAACCCAGAACCACTAAAAAGGTGAACCCCACACTACAAATCGCCGCCAAGGAGAAGTGGATTCTGAGATTGGGGATTTGGCAAAGGGGCTCGACTTTGGGATTGGGAATCGTAGGAGTTTCTCTCATCGTCAAGCATCTCCGCTTGCGGCTGCTCTATCGTAGGTGGCGACACCAGTGGCTCGCCATCACCACCGTCGTCGTCATCTCCGTCGTGAGGTGGAAAATCGAGGGATATCGGGAATGGGGAGGGATTTCAATCGGATCTGGGCATTTTTGAAGAGAGAAAGAAGACGATAGAGTGGAGAGGAGAAAGATTTTTTGTTTGTGTTGTTATCATTCTGGCCTTCTGGGAAGAAAAAATGATTAGTCTTTTGTTCTTCGTTGATGGAGAAGAGAAAAGCAGAGAGAACGACGGCGATTTCGAAGATGAGAAAGGAAGGTGAACTGGCGACGGTGAGGCTAATATTACTCTTTTTACTTTTTATAATTTTTTATTTAATTTAATTAAAGTAAATAAATAAAACTTTAATGATTTTCCACTTGGCATTATTTTCAATAAGAAATGCCACGTCAACCGTTGTTGTTAGTCCAGTCAGCTTGTTAGATGACACCGTTAAAGAATTGGACGAAAGTGGCTATTTTTAGTATTTCTCCAAATCATTCTACTATATATACTTATAATACGCCGAAGGGAAAAACGACAGCTCCATTTCAAATTTCCTGCAACGAGAGTGAAAGTAGGAAGGACATTTTGGTCTTCACAATTACTTTTTTTTATTCATTAAAAAGACATGTACTGAGATTCGAACCATGCCCATTTTAAAGAAAAGCAAGGACAATAACCAATCACACAAAGCACATTTGTTGTATCTTTTTAAATTAAAAACATATAATAGTAGGGAGGAAAAAACCCTTCTCCCATTTCAATTTCCCTGCTCCATGAGCGTTTGTAGGAAGGGTAGAATAGGGAGTGTCAATTTTTTTCTCTTTCCTCTGTGGAACGGGCCAACTTACCGTACACATGTGAATTTAAACGGGTCCAGGAGTGTCAAATTTTTTTTTAAGCCCTTTTATTTCTCCGTGGTGATAAAATATATATGAAAGGGCAAAAATATTACTCCTTTTTATTGTTAAAAATAAAAAATTTAACAATAAACTAATGCATGGTATCTAATGGGCTAACCGCTAACCATAAAATAAAAGAGTTGAATGGGCCTAACCTACATGGGATTTGGCCATCAAGTAAAACAAATGAACATCATTGGTTTTACATTCTAAAACAAGCTAATTTCTCTGGCATAATATATATTATGCTATTATTTTATATCTTAGTGGCTAAAATATAATGTATTTTAAAGTTATTCAATGGTTCAACCTCGACCAACACAATTAGTCCAATTTTTATAATTTCAAATATATATTTTATAATTATTTGATATCATAATGATCAAATTATAGTGTATTTTATAGGGAATCGTTTGCTATTTGTTAGTAAAAAACTAAACATAAAGATCTATTTGGTTATTTTAAACATTATAACGATCCTAAACATTTTCAGTTCCTTTTGAATTTCTATGGTTTTATTCCCGAATAAGTTATGTGCAAATGGCGAATTGTAGTCGTCTCTTTTCTTTCACTATTTTTTATTTTCAAATAGAATGTTTAAAAGTAAAAAATAATTAGAATTTGGCATGGGTCGGTCAAACAGGCTGAATTTCAAGTTTTGGCCCGTTTGTTTTATGCATTGCAAATTTATTAGCATGTTGATGGAAATGGCTTGGAAAAAAGACATATAAGTTGTACCTTTGCAGAAATGTCATCAAATGTTTGAATGCTTTGTGAATCAGGTTCCGTGACTTTTGTGATGGTGTATGTGCTTGACAATTGCTCGATGTTGTAACTGCTTAATTTGAGAGTAAATCTTTTGATTTTCCCTATGAGTTGTGATACCAGTTCTGGTGGTTGCAGCATGTTGTCGTTGTTGGCCTGTAAAAGTTGTTCCGCCGTGGTGCTAAATTCCTTTCTTTCTTTTTTAACAAATTGTGTAGTAGTGCTATGAAACAGACCACCCATGAACGCTACGCTTATTATGGTATGTTCTTACTTCCGGTGGTGAGAAATTGTGAATTGAGAATCATAAAAAATCACCGCACTGTGTCTGGCTGGTGGCTGCTTACTGTTCTCTCTAGAGTTATGAAACAGACTACCCATGAACGTTATCCTTAAGAGTCCATAACTTTGCGAAAAACCAAATTTAGGCAATCAAAGGTGGTGGATGTGTGATGATTTTTTATGGCTTAATTGTTTGTGAATTGGATATCTGATCTTTGTATGATTAGAGGGGATGTTTGCTTAATAGAATAATCTATTTTAATTCATGTTTATTTTTAACATGAACTTTAGTAACTCAAAACCTTCGAGACACATATCACCTACTGCATTGTATCATTTTGCCTAGGTGCTTGCTATGTTGTCAAACTTCTTTGCTGCTGCTGCTTTTACACTAATAGGGGAGTTAAGAACCCATGAATGTTTCCGTTTGACACAAACAGGAGGACTTGCTTCTAAATCGTGCACTAAAGATGATTGGAGGAAACATCTCTATTGCAGTTGATATACTGGAGACCAGAACAAAAACAATCTATAACATCAAAACCAACCATCTGAACTATTAGCATTGTTGCTTTAGTATTTTTTCGTGGTTGAGTCTCCTTCAAAAAATTTAGTTTGATTTTAGAAAATTTTACTTTTGTAAAATTTGTTTCGTCCATGATTCTTGGTAGTTTCAGTGCCATTATAGCCATTGTTTAGTCTGTAATTTTTGAGAATTGATGTGCGAGTAATGACTTTCACTTAGCTTCAACTATTATGTGTGTATTTATTGGCATGTGATAGAATTCTCTTTTCCTTTTCTTTGAATTCAGTTCCATACTCTAATTGTATCATTTGTACATAGGCAAATCATGCTCGAGATGACAACTCGCTAATATGGCTGGTGCAAGGAATGAAGTCATCATTAGAATTCAGACCGACAACGGGGAGGGATGCCCAGGACTAATTCAATGATGATTGATGATGGTATAATTAAAACTGCAGTCTGCATCAGCACCAATTTCTAGGCCTAAGTAAAGTTATTCAACCCAGAACTCTGCTTAGCGCTAAAAATTTCCCTCACCCAACCTTGATCCTGTTTGACCCACTTCTGAAGAGTCAAGATATATGACCAAGGTTGTCAAACCGGTTTGTGCCATTGTACCGGTTTAGCAAGTGGAATGGTTCGACCGGTGGTACATACCGGTTTGTGTCGGTTCATGCCGGTTAATATTACAAATAATTTACAAATACTCATATTTAAGCACGACATTTAACATGAATACCTAAATATTTGTACTTGAATCCAACAAATAACATCAACATTTAACTTTTTAACACATAAAATAAATAATAAATTACTTTTTATCAAATAAATTCACTAATATAAGATCATTTTACTTGGATTCGTATATCGATCATGTCGGTCTTACCGGTGGTGTCATACCGGTTTTATGACCGGTACAGGTTGACCCAAGTTCAACCAGTGGCACGATGGCCGGCGTGACAACCATGTATATGACTAATCCTTTCCGTTCGTATTTTCTTATTGACTCTTTCTGACCCTTTAGGTTGGGACGGGGCGGGAAGAATCGGATTAGTGGGTCGGTCCTAATCAAGTGGAATCCCAATCCCTTCACTCTCACTTGCTTTCTCTCCTATTCCACAAGTGGGTAACATACAGTAATCCGGCCAGCGAGCCGGATAATAGGCTAGTTTAACTATTATTGGTAAAAACGCAAAAGTTTTAGGGCTAATACCACTGGAAATACCAACCTTTAGCGAAAGTGCCATTTATATTATGTAGTTTTCGATATGACAATTGTATACCAGCCGTTAAGTTTTCCGTTAGTTGTTAACAAAAAATACAGTCAGCAATGACGTGGCAGCTGATGTGGAAAATTGTAATAAAAAATAAATGTAAAAAACAACCCAAAAAAATAAAAAAAATAAAAAACAAAATCAAAAGCAAAGAAGGAAAATGTCTTCTTCATCTTCCTATCTCTCTGGATCTCTCCCTTTCGCCAACCTCTTCTTCCAGGCTCTGTTTTCGGCTGCAGATTGGGGGAATGATTTTTTTTTTGTTTATGAGATTTGTGTTAGGACAACCCTAAATCGATTAATCCTCCCACTGTCGAGAATAGACACCTCCTCCCCTTGTCCTCCAAATCCGACACGAACCCTAAATCCTTTCCGTTTCAGTTCTCCCAAATCCTGACCTAGCCACCTTCTTCCCAATCTTTAATCCGCCGGTGGTAGTTAATCGGAATCGCAGGCTATTTCTTCTTCCTCTTCCTCTTCCTCGTTCTCAAGCCACCCAATTGAGCCATCCCACCAGCCACGCTATTGTCATCGATCCACCATCGCCGAATGAGAAGCTCGACTCACCGAGAAGGCTGGTTTTGGGAGATTGAAGAGGAAGAAATTCAGAGGCAGGGAGAGGCGTCCTTCTTACAGCAGCGGAAAAAAGAAAGGGTGGGTCATTCTAATAGTCTAATCCTCACAGCGGCTCCCACCGTCTCTCCGTCCTCCACTCCCTTCACCTTGATTCTCGCCTTCCCTCAAGCGCAGATCCAGAACACCACAAAAGGGAATCTGTGGCGGTGATAAGCGTCATCGATGCTACTCTGTTTCCCGGGGCGTTGAAGAGGAGACAAGGAGCCGGAGACAGAGGAAGCTCCTATCTGTTTCAATTGGAGGTGACCCTCCTAATTCCTTGATTTCGGACGAGGAAGCTTCTGTTTCAAAAGCTATCGTGGGATATGAATTGAGATTGGGCAATGATTTTTTCTGTTTTGTTTATGGGATTGAGTGAGAGAGATAAGGTCGATCGACGACTGCCAATCGAGAGAGGCAGAGGCAGAGAGATGTGATTGACGCCGACGACGTCTCAGGCCACTCCCCTACCTGATTGAGCCATCTCGCTATCCTAGTCGTTGCCATCGATCCACCATCGCCAAAGGAGAAGCTCGACCCGCCGGAGAAAGCTGGGTATGAGATATTGAAGCAGAAGAAAGCTGGATTTTGGAGAAAGCTGGGTTTGGGAGGGTTGAATTAACCTTCCTTGGCACCCGACGGCATCTTCTTCCCCAACATAATAAAGCTCGCTTCTTCTTCCTCGCCGGCGGCGGCAGCGGGCTCTCCCCTAGGTGGGTGTGGTCAAGGAAAGGGTGGGTGTGTCAAAGAAAAGTTAATTTTCTATTCAATTATTAATTATTAAATAATTAATTTAAATGTTAAATATTTAATTTTTTATTAATTTCCAACATGGCATCTATGTGTCGTCTACGTGGACAACCCACAGGCGCCACTTCATCAATGGTCAGATAAAGGTTGACCACCGTTAGGTCAACAGTTAGATCTAACGGTCAACAGAATTTCGCGTAACACAGATGACACAAACCCCTAATACGTTGGAATATTTTTGTGTTTATTGAAAATACGTAATATAAATGACACTTTCGCTAAAGGATGGTATTTCCAGTGGTATTAGCCCAAAGTTTTAACTATACAAGTGTATTTTGTCTCCAATGGTTTTTGTCTTACCTTTTTTAATTAGAGTGACACTCGATTTCACATACATGCCACGTAAAGCTTTTGGGCCGACTCCGACCAATTCGGCGATTCATATAGGGTTGCCCAGCTAACGTGTGCGGCTTTTGATATCATTTTCAGCCCATCATCCTTATTTCCGTGTTTACCCTCCTCTCTTCGATTAGAAACGCAAAAACCCTAGTGGTGAAAACGTCAAACCACAAGGGCTACCCACCCCCACCATCTTCCAATCCCTTCCCTCATTTAAATACAGAACCCTAATCGCTCTCTCAAGCTTCCTTTCCGCCGCACGAGAACCCCCAACCACCAATCACACAGATCCGCCTCTGTTTCCTCCGCCTCCGGGTAGAAAAATGACCACTAGGTTCAAGAAGAACCGCAAGAAGAGAGGCCATGTCAGCGCCGGACACGGTCGTATCGGCAAACATCGCAAGCATCCTGGTGGTCGCGGTAACGCTGGAGGTATGCACCACCACCGGATCCTGTTCGACAAGTACCATCCTGGCTACTTCGGCAAGGTCGGTATGAGGTACTTCCACAAGCTGAAGAACAGGTTCTTCTGCCCGATCGTCAACATCGACAAGCTCTGGTCCATGGTTCCTCAGGAGGTGAAGGACAAGGCTGGAAAGGATGGCGCGCCAATGATTGATGTCACTCAGTTTGGTTACTTCAAGGTGCTCGGAAAGGGAGTCTTGCCGGACAACCAGCCTATCGTGGTGAAGGCGAAGCTCGTGTCCAAGACTGCGGAGAGGAAGATCAAGGAAGCCGGCGGAGCCGTTGTACTCACTGCCTGAAAATGGGTACTTTTTTTTGCTAGGGTTTCTTCGCTTGTTATTTGAGATAAGTTTTTGGAACCAGTATTAATGTTTTATTTACTTAGTGAAGTTTTTGGATGGGTTGAATTGTGGTATGGATGATATTTGGTTTATGCAAAGATCTACATTCGAAATTATACTTGCTTGCCGTTGAATTCTGTGCTCTTGAAATGTGGTTGCTTGTACATGCCCTAGTTTGATTGGATTCATTCTGTAGGGTTTTGGATTGATCGATGATTGAACCTCGTTTTGACCTGACTCATGAGTCATGAGCAGTAGTTGTAGTCAGAGGATTCGGTCATGAATTTGAATGGTTTTGTATGGAGCTGTATCGAATGCCAGATGTGATGTATATGAGATGTTGATTGGGGTGATAGATGAGTAAAGCAGTTGAAGCAATGTGGGTTGCTTAGGTCCTTCGGAGATATGGCTTAATCTTATTCTCTGATAGCTTGGCCATCATTTTTTTCTGATGAACGTCTGTACAACCAGACCAAGAAAATGCTGAGTCTTGAGACTTTAGAATATGCAGAATAGTGTTCCAGGCAAGGTTTTCTTCTTGTGGGGGACGATAGTTGTTTGTATTAAGCAGTTGAGTGCAGTTACCTCTGCTTTATGTTAAAGCATGTTCCTCTGGTTTATGCTATAAAACCAAAACCGGGGAGTGATGCAAGAAATCTGAAATGGCTTGTACTACAGCTTTTTGGTCTGCAGGTTGTCGTTCATTGCTGGGTTTTGTACTTCGTTTAATACTTAATCCATCCATCGTTAGCAACCAATATTACTGCACCCTTCTCTCAGTATGCCTTTGATCTGTGATTGTGCGTGAATTTGGTGGTAGTTCCCAGTGGCAGTTTACTTGTATGTCTCGTCCACGTTGTCCTGTTTATTTCGTCATTATGTTTTTATTTGAATTGTGATACCCGCAACAGCCAACATGCGATAGGCAAAGTTAATCATGTGTTGACTTTGCTGTGAAGTTGAGGGAGGATCATATAACAAGGAGTAGTTATATGTTCTGGTTTTGCCCAGGAGTTGAGCACTGCCCACTCCCAGTAGCTTTAAAATGATAATAAAATTTGTCCCTGTTGACGCTAAATTGCGGAAGATACTAGAGACAGTTCATTTTATATCAAGCTTTAGTCTCTTTGGTTCCTTCATCTCCGCCCCATCTTCTTATCCTTTCTTCAGCAGCAGAAGCCTGCATTTCCATAGCCCAAAACACTTCTTTTTGTTAGTATCTTTTCTAACTCCTGGACCAGATTGGTTTGCATCTCAAATAACGAAAAACAACCAAGACTCACCTCTTTGTTCCAGTTGGTTCTGTAGACCATCCAGAAGAGAACCAGAGTCTGTAGTACTGTCCCTCCCAGCATCCCATACCAGATCCCCTGCAACATCCCAGAGTTAAAAAAACAAAAAACTTCAACAAGTTCCCGCTGCCAATATGATGATTGCTATGTCTATTTTCTTTGCTCTCAAGCACTTCAGCAGCCCCCCTTACCGTGACACCCAGGTGTAGCACGTAGCCGAAAATTAGACCAATGGGAATCCCAAATGCGTAGTAGCAAGCAATGTTCACATATGCCACTGCTGCTTGCCATCCTGCTCCAATGGCCACCCCTGAACCGAACAGAAGCAACAGCTCAGTATCACATTACAGCAGGTCAGTTCTCATGGCAACAGCACCAAACGAAGTTCGAAGTAAAGCTTGCCGGAGAGAACAGGTTGGACGTTGTTGATGATAATGGAGAGAGCTAACAATGGGGTGAGCGCCTTCACTAGTGCCTTGACGTCGGTATCGCTGGAGAACAGAGCTGGGTACCCGTTTTTGGCAATGAAGAGGATAAGGGAGATTAGGAGTCCCGTCAGGAAGGAAGATATCACTGCTACCACTAGCGAGAATTTTGCGGTTCTTGGATGGGCTGCTCCTAGTTCGTTCGACACTCTTACGCTGCACGAATGAGGCCAAGAAATGAAACAGCAAATCACTTTGCCATGAACCCTTTCAGTAATTTACGTTTGGAATTCTCAAATTGTGGTTAAGAAAATGCTAACCTGATTGCTGCATTGATTCCAAGGGCCACCATCACTGTCCACCCTAGTATGTTCATGCTGCATAAACAAATTCCACAAAGAAGAAAAGGGACAGACAGCACTATCAGCCAAGTTAAATACTATAAAAATCTTGACCATTTGGCTGGATGCAAACAGGGGCAGCGAATCTCCAGTCCAATTTTATCGTTTTGTTGTTTGTCCATCGAATTATCTGTCTCTATTCATCTAATTTCAGGATCAAGATGCAGCAAAAGCAGAACCCAAATTGGACTTCGATTGTCACATGAGTTAGAGGTCAATATTTGTAGTCTCAGAGCCAGCTATCCGATAAGCACGCTTGTCGCAACCCGGCTAAGGTACTCAGTCATAAGCCAACTGCAAAAACATGTTCAAACATGTTTGGCATGGTTGGATCAGATCGAGACGAGTGATTTGCGATCGTTGGATGAATGTGGTGACAATTTATTACATCCAATCCAGCGATCACGAATCGGCTCCACCCGATCCAACAACTCCCAGCACCATTGAGCACCTTCTCACATATGCTCCGGGATACACGATAAGTCCAATTTCTTTCTGGCTATAGAAGTAGAAAGCTTAATTATGTGTAAAGTAAAGGTTTGTTTGGGAAAGAGCCAAACTGACCTTATGGACAAGGCATCGACAGCGACCTCTGCATTCTTCAGATACCCAGCAAAAAGGATCAAAGCCATAAAATACCAAACTTCCAAGCTGCAACCATAGGAAAAATGTTACAACTCCAAAAACACCAAACTCTTCCACCGAATCCCAAATTAACCCTTCAAATCCCAAAATCTGACAAACAGGTCCTCACCAGAGCATAACAGCCGAAGCAAGTGACAACCTGACGAACCCCCACAAATTCTGGAACGCCTTCCACGAAAACCCACTCCAGGCCTGCCCACAAGTCCCACTGAAGATGTAGAGAAGCTGAGCCACGACGATGAACCACCACGAGCCGTTGAGGACCACCGCGGCCCCCACCATCCCCCAGCCGAGCTTCAGCATCAGGAGCCAGCTGAAGAAAGTGTGGAGGACCAAGGCGACGGTGGAGATGACGGCCATGGCCATGATCTTGCTCTGAGACTGGAGGAACTTGGCGATGGGGAAGTTGACGGCGTAGGCGAACAGCTGTGGCAGCATGTAGATTGAGAAGGTCCCCGCGGCTCTGGAGATCTCCGGGGTCTGTCCGATCAGCTCGAGGAACGGCCCGGCGAAGATGTAGAGGAAGCTGAGGAGGAAGGCCGTCGTTGTGAGGATGACCCATGATCTCTGCATGTAGATTCCTAACATGTCCAGCTGTTTTGCTCCGTATGCTTGGCCGCAGAGTGTCTCCAGAGCACTCCCCATTCCGAGCTTTTAGTGATTGAAATGAGAGAAAGAGATGTCACCAACATCAATCAATTAAGTCTGAAGTGCTAAGTTCAGCTCTCTCGATTGCTTAAGTCATTATGATGGAACATGAATAGGATGACAACTCATGGTAATTTTATCGTAAACTCATTGATTATGGGTAATGTACGAGGGAAGTATATATATGAATTTGAGATTTAGTCGATGGGTTTGGGTTGTGTATAGATGGTCATTTACTTGAGGTTGTTTCACTCACAAATATAAAATTGAACCAATTTGTAAAACATAAAAAATTAATATATCAAAATGTAAGTCAACAAAATTTTAGGTATTAGAATATAAATTTTCGATCGATATTTTAGAATTTGTATGCAAAAAAGTTTAAATTAGGTACTAAATCTAAAGATCTATTAACTTTAGACATCAAACTGCAATCTTCACATGTGTATGAGTACAAAGTACAAATTCAAGCTCATTGATTAAAAACTGAACCCAACCAAAATAAATGGATATGTTTAAATTGCTATAAACTCATTAAATTTTACCCATTTACTCAAAATTTGGATTTCATAGCTAATCCAATCGAGTTGGATAAGTAAATACTCACGGGTTTAAACAAAATTGTCATCACTTTACATGAATGATTAAATTTAAAATCTTTAATCAGTCATATGAATTAATTGTGTGTGGATACGATAATTATTGATACGATAAGAAGGAGAGAGAAAACTACTTTATTGTGTCCTTCCATCATAATGAAGTTTTCATTTGAGCATACGTACCAGGAAGCACTGAGCCTTGCATTAAACCTATATACAAGAAAAAAGCTAGAAAGGGTAAAAGCGAGTTGGAAAAGAAGAAAGTTTTGACTCTGACTTGGTGGCAATCACTTTCACCCTTAATTTGTGGAGAGGCCAAGTAGAAAAGAAAAGGTGGAAAAAAGGGGGGAAATCATGAAGAAGCTAGGGTGAAATAAATAATTTGTCAGGAAAGTACCATGGCACCAAAGGAGAAGCCAGCAATAACAGAGTTCTCGACAGAGATAGCAGCAAGCTCCAAGGTGCCAACATGGCCGGCGAGGACTTGGGTGACGGCTCCGAGCGAGTACTGGCACAAGGTGGTGAAAACTGCCGGGCCGGCGAGGTACCATAGCTTCTTGGACTCTGCACAGAACTCTGTGTAGAAATCCTGAATCCCGTTGATGGGCTGGATGTCTTCTGCGTCAGCTGGAATCGGGTCTTGCTGCTGCTGTATGTTATCGTTTGGAGCAAGAAGAAATGGCTGCTTTGATTCCTCCATCGAAAGGAATAGATCAGGGTATAGGGGATCTGGAGGAGAGGAGTCTTTTTTTTTTCTCTTCTTCTTTCTTTTGGGTCTGTCAGCTGTCTGAAAGTTCGGTTTTAAGGAGTGGAAAGGAGAAAGGGAGGGTGTATTTTTTTGTTTGTAAAATGAATAGACATGTTTCAGAGATTTGTCCTTTTTTTCTTCTTCTCTTTTCTTGTAATGGGCTAATGGCTTGAAAACTATATTTTTCTAAATTGCTGGGTTTTAGCCTTTTGTCTTTTAGGGGGGTGTCCATCATCATTGGCCGTAATTATGAAAACCTTTTCTCTACTTAATTATTTTATTAGTGCTTGGAATTTAGTTTCTAGCCACTTGATTCATTCAACAATGAGAAATTCACAAATTCATTGTCAAAAAAATTTATTATAATTTTCGCTTCATTGCATTACTTAGTTGTTGTCATATATTTACATCAGAGAATTTTCATTGTTAATCATATACGGTTCTTTTGTAATTACGCTGCACATTGTACCTCCATTTTAGTGCACTACATCAACACAAGAATTGACAAATAACCCCTAAGAAAAATAAAAGATACATGGTAATATCTATTTTTTATCCAAACCTTTTTTATATTCTTTTATATTATCCAAACCTATTAAAATGCTATTAATTAGCCAAATCTTTCGTAATACATCAAAATATTAGCCATTTTTACGTTATCGTTCATAATTTTGTAACTCTTTTTTTAGTTAAAATACTAAATTTTGTAATGTTGACCTTCATGTGTCTCTTCCAAGTCAGTATCATGTTGCCAAGTTAATATTACTCACAAAATTGCTAACTGAAAGTTAACATTTGACTAATTCATAGTATTTTGATAGGTTTGGATGATATAAAAAAATCTGAAAAAGGTTTGGATAAAAATAGACATTACCCAAAAATATATGATATCCACAACTCGAATATATATGAGTTTTTTTCATCTAAAAAAAGAATATATATGAGTTTGAGATTTAGTATATGAGATTAGGTTGGGTATGGATGCCATTTACTTGAGGTTGCATTAATTACACACATAACTCTTGTAAACCATACAAAAATTTAGGTATGAAAATGCAAGACACACACATTTTAGGTACTAAATGTAATTTTCCATCCATATTTTAAGACATATACAAAAGGAGTTTAAATTAGGGGTGATAATGATTGTTATGAAGTTTCTATGCTTTCATGCCAACAAACTCTTGTAGTAGTTAACTTGTGAACTTTAGAGATTAAGGTGGATATTTCATTTTACAAGCAATGAAGAGCCCCAAGTTTGAACTTTCCACTTGGCATGGACATCGAGCTCTGGATTACTTGTGCATTGTGTTCTGTTCACAACCTTAATTAAGGTTAATCATCCTAGATTTGTTTTTATTAAATGGAGGTGGGAGGAACCAGCCGACAGTTAATCATCCTAGATGGAGATGCATCAGTCTGTCTACTAGTATTTGTTCAGTTGATCACTGTCCGAAATACTGATGTAGCGTTTTGTAATATCTGCAGACTTACGGTATTTGGGGATTGGATATAGTGCCCACCTTATAGTGGTGCGGTGGACTGGTGATCATGGCGACAAGTAAAGAGAAAATTGAGTATTTTGAATTTGGGTTAATACTTTATTTGGGCCGAACTTTGGTGTAACCGTGTAAGGGACAGGTTTGTACATATTTTTTCAATAAGATATTTATGGCCAATTTCTGAAATTATTGCACAAATTTGGCCCGAGATTTTTTTTGGTTATTTCGTTAGTGACTCAGCATCTAGGGCTGAAGTGGCAGTGATGTGGCTTCTATGTCATTCATTTATGCTAAAAAATCCAAAAATAAATAATAACAAATAAAAAAAAAATAAATGACTTAAAAATTTGGATTCCTCTCTATCGACTCTCTTATCTTCTTCTTCCTTCTCTCCCTCTATCTTTCCCGTCCACAAGCGCCATCACCTTCCCCCTCTGTCGCGATCGTCGTCCCCTCAAATTCCACTTCGTCGTCGTCCTCCTCATCAAGATCGACGAATTCGGGTCCGATTCGGGTTGGGGAGAAGTGGAGGGAGCTGCAAGGAGAGAAAAACAACTAGTGGCGGTTCGTCTTCTCCCTCGAATTTCATCTTCTTCCTTGAATCGATTTGGAGGAAAATCGAAAGCGAAGGGAAGTTAGCAGCTGGAGATCTGAGGCCAACGATTTCTTCTCTCCTCGCCGTCCGTTGCACCTCCTATCCGGCAGCGCCAGCGATTGTGGTGCAGAGGTCATCAACGCGATTCCTCTTCCTCTTGTTGGACTGTTGAGCTTCGCCTGCATGGACATTCTGCAAAAATTTTATGGAGAGGGAAGGCGAGAGCTTTCTTTAGAAGAATGAAATGAAGCCAGGTGGTGGGGGCAGGGCAGCGGCATCGAAGAGTTGTCGGCCTCCACCAGAAACCTTGGGAACAAAGGGGGTGGGAAATGGGGGGTTAGCTAGCTAGGGAATAGATAAATCATTATTGATGGATGGATGAAGGTCAAATAATAGGGGTAGAAGAAGGCGAGATTGGTGAAGGTCAAACATTCATAGGTCGTTTGCTTGAAGGTTTTCATGATGGATTTGGGCATGGAAACCCATCCATCAGGGATTTGTACTAAAAACCATTGTTAGCGTTAGAGAATTAGCAAAATGAAATCTGTGGGGCCCACGAACTTTGGGGCTCCAAATCCGTGGGCCCAATGGACTTGAAGGTTCTAGCTATTGAGGTGGGATTTCATCATGGATTGAAGTCCATGATGTGTATTTACACCCTTGTCCCTCCATATTTTGTTATTGTCAGCGAGCATTTCTGTTTAGCCTTTCCAAAAATTTGGCAGATAAAAGGTGAAGCTTCTGTTTGCGAGCCTTAAGGGAAAATTGCGAGGGAAAACAATTGACGAAAATAGCTCAAGAGAAGGAAGTCGACTCCTCTAATAGAGAAGCTTCGCCTCGTCATCTTCGATCTTCACCTCCGTTGCTGCAACCAGGTATGCTTTATGTGGGTGTGATGTTGCAACATCTACTCCAATACGAGATGATGACGTGTTTGCAACTTTGGTTAAGGTAATTTATTACATATAAGTTCACATGCTCTTTGTATATATGTATTGTTAGTATGGATAGCATGTAAATGTTAAAGAAGGAGGTCAATTATGTTGGAAAATTTCCAAGCCATTCCAATATGTGTCGAAGAATTGGCTATGTACTTAGTTTAAGTTGTATATGTCTGACTTATTAATGTATGCAGGTTATTATGTATGCTGCAATCTTTGTATTTTCACTTCCATTGCTAATTACAAAAATAGAAGCAATCTTTTTATACTCACTATGAGTTGGATGGTTCAATATAATGCCAAAATGGCTATTGCAGGACGTGCTAAATACTGAATGATCACAAACTCTACTATCCAAGTATGCAAACTTGTGGGTTGATCCGTGATACACAGAAAGCAGTATCAAAGCTACCTAGAGAACTATCTGCAGAAGCCAAATTCATGAATCAAAGCACCTCATTTCATTACTCCTGAAATCTTCCATTACACAACTCTGCTTCTCATTAACAAGTCTATTGGGATCACTTTAATGGAGCACAAACTTGTAGCACTTAGCAGCCCTGGATTCTAATTTGAAACACCCATATAGTCATTAGAGCTTTGAACTCCCAACCTCCAAGTGGTCCAACCTCAACTTAATCGAATTAATGGCAACAACTATCTCTTCGTAGCATGATATCATATTCTTGCTTTCAATTCTAGCATCAACACTATGCTTGGATACTCTGTCTAATTCAACACGAAGATATGCATTCTCCAGCTACAAATTCGAAACCATTTCACCAAGTCTTTTTCTCTCATTGTATAATGCAGCTCTAATGTCGTGCCATTCAAAATCATCACAAGGTTCCTTCTACTGTGTCCACAAACATGCTACGAGTCACTAGCTCAAACAAGACAAACTAATTCACTTAATAAACAAAGCTTTGAACAAAATTACCGAAACTCAAACCTTAGAGCCGAATAGTGGACAATCAAAATTTTTTTGATTCGGGTTGTCAATACTATGTGAAATTCTTCGAGAAGATCTCAGCCCGCAATCGCATAATACCTCTTCATCCTTGTAATAGAATGCATCAACCACTTTCTGCCCCTTTCCGTCGCTGGCCATGATAGTCTCTCTCGAATTAAGAAAAACAAACAGAGAAGTTGGAGCTTAATGTTGGGAAAAACCTTCTACACCTACACATCACAAATGATACAGTTGCTGGATCTAATCAACCAAATAGAGTATAGACAGAGATTAAAAAAAAAGAGCAAATGAAGAGTTGGGTTCCAAATCCCACCTGATTGTTGCAGTAGTTGTTGGAGCCCGTCGACGAAATTTGCTAACAAATGGGAGTTCGCAGGTAGAAAGAGGTTGTCGGCGGAAACGAGATTCCAATACATCGGAAAGAGTTTTCGATCTGCAAAGGCAGCTCGTGGGAAAAGAGAGAATGAGAAAGAAAAGTCTTTGTGGGCTAAAATTGGTGTGTGGAACCCATAAAACAAATAACTGCTAATAAGGCAATAAGGTTATTTCACTTAATATCCTACAAATCTAATTAAACACATTCCATAATAAATCCATGAAACAAACAATAGTTTTTCAGAAGTCCATAATGAACCCAAAACCCTAATAAGTCCAAGGTTTTGGAAAACCCAAGTTTTATCGTGCTATGGGACAATCCAAGTACCACATCAGTAATACAAGGGAAGGAACCCTTGTATATTAGTGTCCACTTAGCCCAATTAGTACGAGGCCTTTTGGGGAGGACACCCAAGAGTAAAACTGTGCGGGCTTGGCCTAAAGCGGACAATATCAGGCTAGGGTTTTCGATTAAGAAGAATGACGTCGATGAACATGAAGATCGAAAAGTTTACGAGGAAGAACAGTTTCGTTATATGGGAGATCAAGATGCAGGCTTTATTTAAACAACAAGGGCTGTGGGGGCCGTTGTCTACGAAACAGAAGAAGGCAGCGATCAATGACGATGAGTGGAATACCCTGGAGGAGAAGGCCCACTCGAACATCATGCTATCGCTATCTGATGACGTCATCATTGAAGTCGCTGCTGAGAAGACTGCCGCGGGCTTGTGGTTAAAGTTGGAGAGTCTGTATATGACAAAGTCCTTAACAAGCAAGCTGCATCTCAAGCAACAGTTTTTCAGCTGGAGGATGCAAGAAGGTACGCCTTTGAGGGATCATCGGGAACAACTTAATTCTATCTTGCTAGACTTACGCAATATAGATGTTAAAGTTGACGATGAAGATGCTGCCCTGATCCTGATTGTGTCTTTTCCGAGTTCATATGAGATATGCTCTTCACACGAGAGAGATCAGGCATAAGGCGTCTGGTTCTGGTACAGGTGGTGAAGCATCGGGTTTGGCTGTTACAGGTGTAAAAGGAAAGAAGAAATCTGGTAAAGGGAATTTGAACAGGAATTCCAAGGGTCCCGATCCACAGTCAGGTGATGCTTGTCACAACTGGAAGGAAGTGGGGCAATGGAAGTACAATTGTCCTAGGAGAAGAGGGCAACAGAAGAACCATGGTTCAGTTGCCGTGGCAGAAGTGGACAACAGTTCTGAAGACGATCTCGCCTTGGCTGTAGATGAGTAGGCACATCGTGGTGATGTGTGGTTTTTGGATACTGCAGCCTCATACCATATGTCTCCTAACAGCAATTGCTTCACAACCTACGAGCAGATAGATGGTGGTAACCTGGTCATGGCTAATGGAGCTGTCTGCAAGGTTGTTGGAATTGGGTCATAAGGTTCGACCACATGATGGTTCGTTCTGTATCGTGAATGATGTCAGACATATTCCACGAATGATAAAGAACCTGATCTCCTTGAGTCTACTCGACAACAAGGGTTTCAGCTTCAAAGGAAAAGGTGGAGTTGTGTATGTCTGCAAAGGTTCAAGGAATGTGTTGAAGGGCGTGAAGTGTGGGACCTTGTATTCATTACAAGGGTCTATGTTGTCTGGTTTTGCTGCAGTTGCATCGTCTCAAGTTCATCGGGAAGATATGACCACTCTCTGGCACATGAGACTAGGGCATATGAGTGAACTAGGGATGCAAGTTCTGTCGAAGAGGGATCTACTTTGCGGGCACAAGGTGCAGAATTTGGAATTTTGTGAGCATTGTGTGTTTGGGAAGCTACATCGCAACAAGTTTCCCAACAAGGGTATCCACCGGACGAAGGGGATACTGGATTACCTCCACTCCGACTGTTGGGGTCCTTCACGAGTTGAATCCATTGGAGGCAGTAGGTATTTTCTGTCTATTATAGATGATTATTCGAGATTTACTTGGATTTCTATGATGAAGCAGAAAAGTGAGGCTTTCACAAAGTTCAAACAGTGGAAGACATTGGTGGAGAATCATACCGGAAAGAAGATCAAGAAGCTGCGAACGGACAATGGTTTGGAATTATGGAGTTCTGAGTTCAACGAATTCTACAAGGATGAATGGATTGCCTGTCATCGGACCGTTAGAGATACACCCCAGCAGAATGGCGTTGCAGAAAGGATGTACCAGACATTGTTGGAGAGAGCACGATGCATGCTCTCTAATGCTAGACTAGAGAGAAGATTCTGGGCAGAAGTAGTAAATATGGCATGCTTCCTAATCAATCGTGGACTTCACACAAGCATCGAGTGTAAGACTCCTTATGAAGTGTGGTATGGTAAGCATGCTGATTACTCTTCATTGAAAGTTTTGGGTGTCCTGTTTATTATCATGTGAATGAGGGTAAGCTGAACCCAAGGGCAAAGAAGGGTGTATTTGTGGGTTACGGAGATGGAGTTAAGGGATTTCGAGTCTTGTCACCTTCTAAGCATCGAGTTATACTCAGTAGAAATGTGATATTTGATGAGAAGTCTATGTTTCACCCCATGTTGAAGGTTACTGTTGTTGAAGGTAGCATGAATGTTGATAAACAAGTGGAGCTGCAAACTCTCAAAGAGAGTGAGTTTGAGCACCAAGGTGGAGAAGATCAACATGATGAAGATGTCTCTACAGAGCCAGAAACTTCAGAGTCCAGTGCACGAGCTCAACAGTCTATGGCTTCCGGTAGACCGAAAAGAGCGACTGCAGGAGTACCTCCACAGAGGTATGGCTTCGAGGACATGGTGGCGTATTCATTTCAGGTTGCCGAAGAAGTGGACGCAGGAGAGCCACAGTCCTATAGAGAAGCAATTTCGGGTGGTGAAGCTGATCAATGGCTTGCCGCAATGGGAGATGAGATGGAATCCCATGATAGGAATCAAACTTGGGAGCTAGTCAAACGACCACAGGGAAGGAAGATTGTGACAAACAAGTGGATCTACAAGAAGAAGGAAGGAATCAGTTCTGAAGAGGGCATTAAATTTAAAGCTCGGGTGGTTGTACGAGGCTTCTCGCAGAGGGAAGGAGTTGACTACAATGAGATTTTCTCACCAGTGGTAAGATATACTTCGACCAGGGTGATACTAGCAATAGTAGCTCATTATGACTTGGAGCTCGAGCAGCTAGACGTGAAGACAACTTTCCTACATGGAGAGTTGGAGGAAGAAATTTATATGACTCAACCAGAAGGATTCCAGGTTCCAGGAAAGAAAGACTATGTTTGTAAGCTGAAGAAGTCCTTGTATGGACTTAAGCAATCTCCGAGGCAGTGGTACAAGAGATTTGACAATTACATGCTTGAGCTGGGCTAAAACAGAAGTCCATATGATTGTTGTGTATATCACAGCAAGGCAGAGGATGGTTCGATGATATATCTAGTTCTGTATGTGGATTATATGTTCATAGCTGCGTGGTCAAAGTGTGATATCCAGAAGTTAAAGGGGCTTCTTAGTGCTGAGTTTGAGATGAAGGATTTGTGAGCTTCTTAGAAGATCTTGGGTATGGAGATTTACAGGGACAGGTCAAAGAAGAATCTTTTCTTGTCACAGAATAGCTACATCCAGAAGATACTGTCGAGGTTTGGTATGTCTTCAGCAAAGCCCTTAAATACTCCTAGTGCTTCAAATGTTCATTTATTCTCAGCTTATGCACCGCAGTCAGAGGCTAAGAAGGAGTACATGTCGAGAGTTCCATATGCTAGTGCAGTAGGTAGCTTGAAGTATGCTATGGTATGCATCAGAACTGATCTTGCACATGTTGTTAGTGTTGTCAGCAGGTCCATAATACAACCTGGGAAGGAGCATTGGCAAGATGTAAAGAGGATCTTCCGGTACCTTAAGGGTACACCTGATGTGGGGATTAGCTTCAGAAGTGATACAGAGTGCTTGGTGTCTGGGTATTCTGACTCGAACTATGCTGGAGATGTTGACACGAGGAGATCGATGACCGGTTATGTATTCACTCTTGGGAGTTCTGTAGTGATCTGGAAGAAAACTTTGCAGCCGGCGGTGAAATTGTCTATTACTGAGGCAAAGTATATGGAGTTCACTGAAGCTGCTAAGGAGGGAATATGGTTAAAGGGACTGGTTGGTGATTTGGGTCTACATCATGATCTGGTAGTGGATTATTGCGACCGTTTGAGTGCAATATGCTTGGCCAAGGATCAAGTCCACCATGAGAGGACTATGCACATTGACGTGAGGTATCATTTCTTGAGAACATAGAAGAGGATTAAGGTGATGAAGGTTGGCACCGCGGATAATCCTGCTGATATGTTCACGAAGCCAGTTCCACATTGCAAGTTCCAACACTGCTTGGACTTGCTGAATGTCTTGAGTGGGTGACTCCGCCCTACGGGGCATTGATGGCAGGAGAGAGAGAGAGAAGGAGCAGAGTACATCAGAGATTTCATAGGAAGAGGATTCAAGTCAAGGTGGAGATTTGTTGATGTGACTTGAATCGGACTATCATCATCTACGACTGGAATAGTCAGGGGTGGGGGGGGGGGGGGGAGGCAACGCCTTGGCCCGCGGTGTATGGGCTCAATGTTATTTGGGTTCGGGTTCTGGGCCTGATCTGTAACCGTTTCCTTGCCAGATTGGATTAGGTTTAAACCCACATGGAGAAGTACTATAAATACTTCTCATACTCCTCTGTAATATGTAATCTCCTCGATATAGTGAAACAGGCTCTCTCTCGCCCGTGGACTAGCTAACAAACATCGTGTTAGTGAACCACGTA